CGGACCGCCACCACCTCCCTCCACCTCCGCCAGCACCAAGCCCAAACACAGTGGCATCAGCACAATAGTCTAGAGCCTACTCGCCCTCCTAATAACTGTAGTTTTAAACAAAAGTTACAGAGGCACTTACAGGAAGCAACAAATAAAATTGTCAGTTTTTACCTACACGATTTAATCGAGCTGTGTGAGCTTAAAGGCTTGCTGTTACTAAATAAAATAATTCAAGTTAGAGCAATCGATACTGGTTTTACTTATCTACTCGATAGACGCTCACCACCTGGTTAGTCCTTCTTTCCAAACTGCCTTGAAAACATGCTGCTTGCTGAATATGAGTAAAGCTACCTTTTACACCCAATCCCTTGACAATTTTACATGCGTAATAAAAACTTAGTCTATGAAAAAAAAAAAAAAGGGAAAAAAAAAGTGATACAGAACCAAGTGTTGCATTCTTGCTCTTTTATTGTCAATGGGCAAAAAAATAAGTAGACCTGATATGGTTGATGAAAGTACGTAAGTAAACTTTATATAATATAAATATATACATATAAATATATATATACTGTATAGTTAACATTTGTGCTTGGAAAGAAATTTTTTCAGTCCACAAAACTAGCAATATAGACTTTACAAGGAATTCCACTTACTTGATAGGACAGTATAATAGATGAATAGCATATGAAAGAGTAGACCAAAAACATTAAACGTTAGAAACAAATTTCCGACATTTCAGTATTTTCATTCCAAGTCCTCTGGGCTTGCTAAGATTTCTAAGCAATCATTACTAAATGTGCCAAGTAACATAGCATTTAAATGTTGTAGTCAAATACTGCTTTGTATAAATCCTTATTTTATTAACACGATAATATCATACGTAATCAGTATTATAACTGCTGTGCTATTTCAGGTAAGCAAACTCGTTAAGATGCAGTAATTATACCGTAGCAATGTAGGATGGCCTTTTACCACTGGTCATCTTCAGGCATTGGTCACACAAATTCTTAGACACTTTAAAGGCTGTGATAACTGTGAATTTACATGATCCACATTTCTTTTGTATGGCTATGATTTAAGGAACACACATGAAGAGTGACGACAGGTGCATGTAAACACTGCAAAAACATTCATCTCAAACATGAAAATGGCAAACTTCCATCTTTCTCAGCTACTTTGTTTCCTCTTCACCATAATTTCTCATTTTTACCCCAAATGAAGCTGAATTCTAGTCAGAGCATTTCCAGTTGGAAGCGCTCTAAAGCTTGAAGGTTTGTTTTAGAATTTAGTATAGGGTTTTTTTATATATATATATATATATATTAAAACAAAATCTGTAATTCCATGTAGCCATGTGCTAGCAACAAAGTGGCTTCACCATTTTTACTCATCACATTTGTTAGTTTGAAAGTACCCAGCACTCAGCAGGCTGAGTTTACGCTCAAACCCTCACTCTCATAGTCCAGTTAGTTGCAAGACATCACATGAAAACAGGCTGTGCTGTTGTTGCTTATGTGTTGTAATCGAACCATTTGCAAATTTCTATACAATTTTTATCCCGAAATCCTGTACAAAGTTATACATGGCGCCTACTTTGTAGTTTCAGCATTTTGAGCCACTGCAAGGACTTTACACCTAAACAGTAGAGACAAAGGAATCACAACTGCAAAACTGTACCAGCCTAAGAGCAAACCTTGAAGAGGATGAGCAAAAAGTTCCAGTCTGAGATGGGTAAAAGTAATAATAACAACCAGTCCATTTTCTGTTTAGCAGTAGTAGAATTGTCAGGAATAACAAGGACATGAGAAGGAGAGAGTGAGTTTTCATGTCGGCTTGCTCATGGCATCTCTGATACTTGGGGGGCGGGGGGAGAGGTTGAGTAAGTTTTTCCCTTTCATACCATTGATCTCACAATACCAGCAAAACTGCAAACTGAGCACTTTGTTAACCTCCACAGAGAGCAAATACAGCAATCTAGAGTTTAGCCTTTTGTTTAGAGCTGTCCACGTTCGTTTCACACATGTGCAATATGTTTTCCCCTTCTGCTCCTTCTCCTCTAAATTATCTTCATGAAAAAAAAAAAAAAAAGAAAAGGAGTCATTATTTTTAAGTATCACTCATACTAAATTCTGCGGCTTACCTTAAGAGGGCTCGTAGGGGTCCCCTGAGGCTCTGTTCCTTGCAGTTTAAAACAATATATACTGTTCTTATAAGGGAAAGTAGAACTGTCTGCATGTCATCTAATGTTATTAGTGTGAGGCTACACTCTACATATTGTATATTTGCAAAATATATCAGTGTTACTGTTGATATTAGTTGAAGTAAAGTGATAACATATTTCAATATGTAGACTTTTCTTCATACATCTGTACCAATAGTAGAGTCTAACTGTAATTTATAGGTTGTTCCAGAAAAGATAAAGAACCATTCAGGTACAAACATCTTCCAGAAACTGCATCTTTTAATTAAAACGGAGGTAAGAGTGCTCCTCTTCACTGAGTGACAGCGTCTGTACTGGGTTCAGATGCAGAGTTACGATGGAAGTGAAATTGCCTGTGTATGGAATACAGAGCATGCGGTAGCAGTGGAGAGGAAATTCTGACTCTGGCTGTGTTAATTAACAACGAAGATGCTGAATCTCCCAGATCTGCATTTGCTTTATGTGCAAAAAACCCCTTTCATTCATTTAAATTAGAGTTACGCATAAATATTCTGAACTTGCACAGTAAGCCACATTTTGATGTTTGCCCACTGGTTTTCCATGTGCCCTCAGCTCAGTATTGTGGAGAAGTCACCAGTGTGCACCCCGAAAAGCCATTGACACACGAGTTCATGTACCCCTGGGGACAGAGCTGGCGCCTGCCCTCGGGGTGCACCCAGCTGCATGTGGGAAATCACACGTCATTCTGAGGCTAGTTTGAAAAACAAAACTGGTCATAGAAGAGCACAGTATTTGTAAACTCTAAATAGTTTCAAGTCAATGAGGAGAAACAGTGGAATTTTTTTAATTATTTTTATTTTTTAGACTGTGTGTTTGTATGTACTTTAAACAAACCGATGTGTCTTGGTGTCAGCATAAGTCTGGAGAACTTTGCTGCTTGGTTAGGGCTGTAGTATAACCTCTCCAACTCCATCCTTGATTAACAAACTCTTAGAGCAGTGTGGCCCACGCCTAGAACAGGAAAATGACAGTACTATAACACTGCCTGTGGTTAAGAAAATTAATTTTTCCAGCCTGCGGGCAGGAGTAGAATTGAGAGGGTTTTTTCTCCAATGCCATTGCCAATTCAAAACTGGTACAGAGCTGCATGGAGTGGCCGTGTTTCTCTTTTCCCATAAATAATGTGGCGAAGTGGTAATGCTGATTTGAAAAAATGAAAGGGAAACGTAAAGAATGAAGGTGTGGCAAGAAAAATCTTTTCTGGGACAACAATCAAATATATCTTTGGGGTTTTTATTTTTTTAAGTTAAGAATGAAATGTACAACGATGTAAAAACAAAAAACAAAGTTCATCCTAATATAATGTGCGTCTTGTATTGCTAAAAAAAAAAAAAAAAACAAAAACTAAAAAAAAAAAAAAAAAACAGAAGCCAGACACATAAGTGGAAATATCTAAAAAAAAAAAAAAAAAAGCCAAGTCTAACATACAGTGTAGAATGATTTTCCCATCATGTACTGCATGCAGCAGAAGCCTCTTGTTTCTTGATAAAATGAGCTGAGAGACAGTCAGCAGATATTTAAACAATGAATCTCTAGATGTTGACTTGCTGTTCCATATGAAGCTGTGTGTTTTCTGCAGTTAAGCATGCATTTTGCTGTTCCGTTGTAAAATACCATCGCACTTCTTGCCTGCGAAATGGGTTATTGTGTATATATTTAAAAGAAAAGTGGAACCAATAACAAGACTAAATTTGGAAAAGAGACAAGGGGGTGGCGAGAATGGGACCAGTAGGGGGAATAGATAATTCTCTAAATTGTACATAGTGTGTAAATTAGTATTACTATAAGTCTGCAGTCACTTTGAGGTTGCCTATCTCCTGCTAGGAACTTAAATCAGCTTTGAGTTGTATTAAACTGTTAGAATTAGGTCTTGAATGCAGACTGTTAAAGACTTCCAAAAACCATTATGCTTACAAGAAGCTTCTGTTCTGGGGAGGCTTGAGACCCCTTTTGTAACTATGGGGAAGAAAGGAGTGCTTTCATTTTAATATGCATTCTGTTTGTAAGTAGTAACAAACCCTATTGATGTAAAACTATAACTGTGATCATGTGGAGAAATCAAATAAATCATTTAAAACTCTTTGTTTCTCATTTTGTGTAATCCAAGAACTTCAACTCTTCAGGCTTGAAATGCAGGGAATCCCTTCCAGCGGTGTCCCGGCCCCGCTGAGGCGATGGGATCTCTGCTGCTGGCTTCAGAGGGGCTGAGTTCAGTCTTCAGCTTAAATTAGAGAGGAGCTGGTGGAGCTGATGGTCGGTGCTGTGGAGACTGGGATCCCTTCTCGGTAGCCTTTGATTTGTCTGGTGGTGCTGCAAAGGCATTTGGTTCCAAAGTACAGTAAAGAGGGATAAATACCCCACCTAGATGTGCAAACAGTGAGGGGTAACACCGAAGAGGCTTTTTGGTGTGCTATTTATCAAAACATCCCCGTGTTGAGAAACAGCAGCCAGATTTGGAATCTTTTTAAACGTGAGCTGTGCGGGGTGTTGGACTCGTCCCGTTACTCCTTTGGCTGTGGCTTTGCCGTGGGAGTTGGCGTTGGGGTGACCCTCTGCCCTTCACTCATACGTGTTCTCAGTCTGTCCTTCCCAGGCGCCCCGTCCGTGTGTCCCCAGCCTCACCCGCGGTCCCTGGAGGGAGCCAGGAGGGGGGCCGTTGCCTCTGCGCGCCCGGTGCCGGGGAGCCCGCAGCACACCTCAGTAAGTGATGTCACTCCTTAAATATTACCTCGTTACCGCTCGTACCTGGGCTTATTTGCTGTGTGTCTTCATTTCCATCACAACAGCATCACTGCAGAGGCGGATTTGCCTCCACAATACTTGCTGTCACACTCCTGCACTTGCTGTAGGTAGCGACCCGGGGCTTTCTCAACCATCTTCTTATTTGTGTGCATTTCCTTCAAGGGCACTATAGTGTGCTTGTAAAGCCTGTTAAAGCTAATGATTAGCTATCAATTTAAACTAAACATTACGTTTGCTTTTTCTTTTTCTATGAATTTTAAGGGATTCTGGAATTATTTGGTGGGAAGAGTCGACTATGTCCTATTTCTGAGTGGCTGTAATTCCAGGATGTACGTCGGGATCACTGGTGGTTTTGCCAGGTAAGTGTGCCTTTTTCAGGAGGTGCTTGCACCTCCTCTGAGCTCTGCGACACATCAGAACATAACCAATGCCTCGCAGAAACGCTCTCTTAGTGGAAATAGAAGAATTTCCATTTATGGAACTTACTTCCATAAAGTCCATTTATGTTCTTTATATGTACTAATATTCCTGTAAGTTCCAGGGGGGACCAAGATCCCTGGCTACCCTGGCTGCCCTTTCCTAGTCCCACATGTCGGTTGGAGATGTTGATCTGGAGGCTTTTGGGGTTGTGCTCGATTTCCCGTCAGCAGAGAGATAGCGGGGATGGGAGGCATGTAAGCTTTGCTGTTGCTCCCAGGGCTTTTGCTGGTGCTCCCAGGGCAGGGAAGGAGAGTCTCTGCAGGTCCCTAAAGTAGAAATGGATCCCAACGTGCAATGGAAACCTTTCTCATCTCTGCTTGCTTCTAGATGAAAGTGGTGGCAATGGTCATCCTGCTTATCCACTGGATCTTGGCATGCATCCCTTAGGGCTTCCTGCAGGTACGTTCTCAGTGTCCCTTTCCTTGAAAGCAGCAACAGGGACAATGTGGCAAGAGCTTGTTCATGTGCCATTTCCTATCAGACCCTCTCAGGGTCAAGGGCTTCCCGAATTCTTGCCCTATTCCTGTCCGTGAGCCCCAGAGCAGTCCCACAGCTGAGCCAGTGGGAGGAAGGAGCATTTCCCTTGTAATCCTTTTTCCATGGGAAATGGCTTTGCTCCTTCCGTGCCCGATGCGCAGACGTGGAGGAGAGCAGAGAGGGAACGGGTTGGGCCCAGTGATGTGCCCTGGGGCCAACGGAGGTCCCAATAAATGGTGGAGGCTTCTCCTGGGTGCTTATTTTACAAACATGCCCAAAGGGGAGGCTCTTCCATCTCCCTGGCTGGATCCTGCCCTAGATCCCGGCTGAGGTCGCAGGGGGAATTGTCTGTCCCTGCTGACCTCACCGGCTTTGCACTGCTTTTCTGTAATTGATTGATACGAGAGTGAACCAAATACTTTCTGTGAAGGTCTTCCAAGGGAGAAGAACGCAATTGAAGAAGAGAAAATGACCCTGGAGCCACCTGAAGTCCTCATGGACATTCTCAAAAAGATGCATGCACTACACGGTGGGTGTATTTCACTCTGCGGTAGCCGTGGGACTTGCTCCACACCTGGACGGGCTGTAGCCTGCAGAGCAGGAAGGGATCCATCAGAGCCTCGCCGCAGCCACGCTGGGTTTCAGCCCTTGCGGGCGCTTCCGAGCCCCAGGGATGGTCCAGGGCCTCTGCGGCCAGTGGTGGCCACAGCCGGGTGCCAGGGGCAGCCGCTGCCCCACTGGGACCATGAGGACTCAGAGCTGTTTGCGCAGAGGTCGGGGACAGATTTGGGGTCCTGGCACGTGCTGCACTTGTGTCCAGCTGCCCCACAGCTCTGCTGGCGCAATGGGCCAGGGCCAGGGGGGAGAGCGGGGTCCCAAGCAAGGCTTGCTGCCCTATCCTAGTCCTGCAAGTCAGCTGGAGATGCTGATTTGGAAGCTTTTGGGGCTCTGCTCGATTTCCTGTCTGCAGAGCGACAGCTGGGATGGGAGGAATATAGGCTTTGCTGGTGCTCCCAGGGCAGGGCAGGAAGTTCTGGTGGAAGAGCCCTTCCCCCGGCTGGCCTGGCTGCTGCAGCTTCTTCCCCTCGTCTTGGAAGGCTGCCGTTTAGCATCATCTTGCAGTTGGCCAAAAACGCAGTAGATGTAAATCAGTGTTGGAGCAGTGACTGGGCACAAGCCCAGAAGCCCAGGCCTTCCATCTCACTTTCTTGGGTGTCTTGGAGAAGTACCGACTCATCAAGCTCTCAATAATTCACCCTTATGTGTCCAGTCCAGATCCACCTGACCCCCTGAAAGATGGACCCAACGCCAGCAGCCGTTGCTTCCACCTGCATCACCGGCACCACGACCGGCCTCCCGGGAGCCCCTGCGCCCCACAGGCCTCTCCCCGGCCAGCCTGGACCAACAGCAGAAGCTGTCCAGCCCCGGCCAGCTCCCGACCCCACCAAAAGAGCCCCCGTGCCACACCACCCCACAATGTCAAGAAGCCTTGATGGAGGCTCAATCCCCACTCGGCGCTGGGGCTGCTCCTCAAATGCACCCAGTGGGACAGTTTCACTGAATTTCACTGAATTTCACTGAATTTTTGGAGTTGGAAGGGTCCGTAGAGATCATCTAATCCAACTCCCTTGCTGAAGCAGGATTGCCTAGAGCTAGAGCATGTTACTCAGGACCACATCCAGGCGGGTCTTGGAAATCTCCAAAGAAGGGGACTCCACGACCTCCCTGGGCAGCCTCTTCCAGGGCTCTGTCACCCTCACTGTGAAGAAGCTTTTTCTCATATTTGAGTGGAAGCTCCTATGTTCCAACTTGTGCCCGTTACTCCTCGTCCTCTCACTGGCAACTGCTGAAAAGAGTCTGGCTCCCTCCTCCTTCAAACCACCCTTTAGGTACTTATAGGCATTGATGAGGTCTCCCCTCAGCCGTCTCTTCTCCAGACTAAAGACTCCCAGCTCTCTCAGACTTTCTTCATAAGGGAGATGCTCCAGTCCTTGAATCATCTTTGTT